GAGCCAAACAAATTGATCAATGACGAACGAAAATCATCAGTAAACAAGCAAAATGTGTGAGTCGAGCGGGAGGTTAAAAAGCGAAACGAAAAGTGCCAGGAGCAGCAAAGAATCTTGTGTCATGCCCATTTAACGAAAGTCTGAGTTATCAAGAAAACAGCTATGCTATTTAAACATCGTCGACGTGCTTTAGTAATGTTTACATTCTTAAAACTTCCTTGTGAAATGTTCAACTCTTTGGAATTTATCACCAGCTACATAAACTTAGTACGTTTTGCAGTTTCGAAAATTAAACGAGGGCAGAAGCCCTAGTTCTAGATCAACCCAACCAGCTTGAAGTCGCGCCTCAGTGGAGCTCACGGAAACACACTTCGGGCGCAGACTTCACACCCCGCCAGCGGCGCGGGAGTGGGACACTGAAGGGAGCGCTGCCCCGATATTCGGCAAAAACCAAGCAACCAGCGCGGAGCTTTTAAGACACGCACCCGGCTGGGCTGAGCCCTCCCGCAAGCCCGTCCGCCCGCGCAAGGCTCCCGCCGCCTCCCGCGTCTCCCCCCCGGGTACCGCCGCGGGGCCGCCGCGCCAGCCGAGTGGGTAACGGGCCGACACCCGGGGGCAGGGCCCCCTCCGCCCCGCCCTCGAAAGAGACCCAACCGACCGCGGCCCCAGCCCTGAGGGCAGGGAGGGCGAGCCCGGTTCACCCGGCACCTTTGAGGAAGGAGCTTCCCGCCGCGGAGCGGACAGCAGTCGCCCGGAGCCCGGCAGGAGGTGCCCACTTCCCGGACCACCGCTTCGGCCGCCACAGAAACCGCAGGGCCGCGCCGGCGACCCGGAAGTGTTCGCGGTACCTGGAAGTGACACCACGCCGGCGCGCCGGAGGCCCCGCCCACCCCGGGCGCTCGCGGGCCAATCAAACCTTGCGAGGGGAGGGCGGGAGGCGCGGGGCCGGCGCTTTCAAGCCCGAGACCCGAGGATCGGCTTTTCAAGTAATTCCCCGGGTTTACTGAATCGTTCATAATGATGTAATTGTTAGAAACTACCTTCTCCACTGTCAGATGTGCACAATTAAGAAATGCAGGGCAGTCACACTTTACGCCAAGGCATATTCAGTGCAGTACTGTTGAAGACGCCTCCCCGAACACTAAAGACAATTTTTTTTTTTTTAATTATAAGCAGGTATTTCTTTACCATTCAAAACAGGGCCGCGATTCATTTAACTCCGCAAGCTTTCAGTTTGTGATTTCATGAAGAATTTTAATTTGGGAGAATCTGCAAGTGACTGCATTTAAAATTTCTAATGCAAAACAAATACTTCAACATGTATTTTGAATTTACAAAATCCCAATGGTAACCTAACTGGATTAAAAGCAGCTGTAATGTACACAGCTGTCTATTATTAAGTTGTTGAACAGTGATTAAGGAGTAAATGTAAAAACACTTGCTATCAACTGGAACTCAGAACAGGCCTATAACTTAGACAAGTTCTCATTTATGCCATGCATTCAGCCACTTATTGAACTGATTTCATTCTTGGGGTCACCACTAACTAGAATAATTCTAAAGTATGTAATACAAAATACCTTATTGTTTAAAATTAAATGGAAAAGTACTCGTCACCTCCTTGGACTATAGTAAGCACAACCAGACAATAGTATAGAACTGAATCTGAAAGATTTCCAAGATAACTCAGTGAAAAACAATTAGCTACGCGATGAAAGAGAAAAATGTGATAAATTCCCCGGAGGACAGTGGATTACACAAGAATGTATCATACCAGGAAGCCAGGAGGGAAAAAAGAAAAATGTGATGAGTCAAAAACACACTTTCCAATTAATTTATTTAAATTCATTAATGTTGCAAAAATACCAGTGCAACAAATCAGGACACAAGTTACTGTATTCCTAACAAGTCAAATACCTCTCCTTAGTATATCAAGATACACCCTAGTCTTTCTTACAGGGACCACATCAACATCTTGCACAGCGTCATCAGAACTGAATTCTCACACTATAAATGACAGCACTAGGTTAGGCAATTTCATTGGAATAGAAAAATGACCAGAGTACATTAATTTCACCTAAATGGCAGCATGTGAAATTATAGTTAAGAGATGTATTTTTGAAATATGTATCAAAGTGCATTAGTGTCTAATAAACCCTGAACTGTGTTCTTTGTGAATGATGCCCCAAGGGCTATGCAAATTAGTGGCCCTTGAACACCACCAATATTACCTAGGTTTATGTAAATAAACCATTAAAAGGGCATAATTTTAGAACATTCATATACAAAAAATGCAGTGGAATAATAGCTAATATTATTTTCTAAGTTCCTTCAGAGCCATACTGAATGTGAACATGCATAAAATTTTTAAATGCAAATGGTTTAACCTTTTGTAGAATGTCATATTCAGACAGCTATCTGAAAGATAGTAATTCCTTACTAATTTAAAAGTACCAAACCCTTAATTTTCATCTGGTGTTTGAGTTATTACAAGCTTTATGTAAACTTTTCATGTTGTTTATTTAGTTCTTAAAAATGTAAGAAATTAAGTAATCTATCACATATAGTTACAAGGCAATAGGTCTGTTCAAATTTTAGTTCATTTCTTGCCATTCAACTGAATCATTTTATTTTAAATTACAATTTAGAATTTTAAAGGAAAGTTCCATTACTGAATTCACCATTGATCTGATTCTAATCAATACAGAATCTTGGGATGGAAAAAGGGAGATAAAAAGGTTCCTGAGGTAATTCTTTTGTACTGGTTAAAATAGTGAGAAGATAAACATCTACTTCCCTTACCAGCTAATCTTTTCGTGTAAGTCTAAGTTCTTGACTTTTCTCCCAGCAACTCAAACAATTCCTATTCTCTATGACAAGATAAAGACTAACAGAATATTTCTGTAATTTACATTAATTCCTGAAACCATCTCATTTTTTTGAGATTTGTGATCCATTTCTCAAGTATCTGCATAAGTTGTGATGAAAACAAAACAAAATAGGGTAGCAATCTCTACTTTCGGCGTATTTCCTCTTGCTTTCTGACAGTAATGTTAGCAATTTTCCACATAAAACATGGAAAAAGGAAGGATGATGCACCTGTCACTTTCTACACACCCTTACAATCCAGTCACCAAACTGATCCATTTGATATATCCTAGTGCTAATTTATCAATTGAGGAAACCTAAAAAGCCACTTCAACATTAGGTCAAACACCCCCAAATTCCCTGAGCATTCACATAAAACATCAAATAGTAATGCTAAATGGTCATTTATAAGAGGTGTCTACCAAAAAACAGATCCCTTAATTTCTGGACTGCAGTTGAAGCAATTCTAGTTATCAATATAACTTGTCAATCAGCAAATTTCAGCATTCAGTGAAGTTACTAAATAGTGATATTTTTGAAGTCTACATTAATGTTTATGAATCACAAAATATGAGAAATAACTTAGTCCTAAACTTTAATCTGGGCATTATAATCGCTGACCCTCTGTTCTAACTTGCTTCTGTACAAAAAGACAAAGCAGAGGAAAATATGAACCCTTATCATAGGTTATTATCAGTCTCTACCCTTCCTTCTCTTAACTCCTCAGTCTCCTTAGTCACACATTCTGTGGGTAGCCTGCAGGTTTTCCTGCTGGATACAAAAAATGGTATGCCCAACTTCCCTGACAGCAAACACATTCAGTAGCATCTTAGATAAGTCTGTATACCTTTGTTTTCTTTCTCTTCCTTGTTTTGTCATCTTCCATTCCAACTACCCTCTAGGCCCTACTTAGATTCATATTTATTAACCTTCTCTTCCCCCAGTTAAAAACTTCCCCAGTTTATTAAGCTTAAACTGTAGGGTCACTGTAACATCCTTCCTTGGCGAGCCTTAGTAATATGACCAAGCAGAACACAATCAAATTATTTTATAAAAGAACCTTTTGACTCAAGAGTCACTCAAAGCCCATAACAAAAAATACTGGCAGAAGCATCAAATTAAACTTAATAAATGCTTTTCCTCTAGTCTACTAGGTAAGTCTTACAATTATGAAATACGAGGCATGTCCTTATACCAGATTCCATTAAGATGTAGGTTAGCAGAGGTGTCCTTTGAATCCAGTGACTCATAGCACATTCCTTTTACTATAACCAAATTGTTATCACTGTTCCCTCAGAATTTTAATATTCTAAGAGAAAACAGGCTGTTTCTATGTTAAAAAGCTATTTAGTAAAAAGCACCACTTCTGCAGCAAGTTGTAGTTGTGAGAACTAATGTTTGCAAAATAAAGTCAGTAAACACGATAAAACACTGAAATTATTCTTTGTATTTTTTAAGCTGGAAATCTGGGTACTTAACATGGAGGAAAACCACTTAAGACACTCAGAACACTTTAAGTGAGCTAATGACTATATACAAAAGCCTATATAAAGCATCCTACAAATACAGAATCTAATCACACTAAATTCAATGATGCTCTATTTATAATCCTCATATGGTAACTTCAAAAAGAATGCCTAAGTTGTTATCATTAGCTTGCTTTTTCAAAGCTTCTAAGCTTTGAGCAAACAATAATGGTTATAGCTTTCTTTACCCACTACAAATATTAGTTCAAGATCTGCCTATATGTACTGGATCCAAGTTAAGATAGGAGGGTACTGAGGAACATCTATCCCAGGAATTCTCCAGCATCTCCCACAATTGGACTTATGTTAGCATGTCAAGTTTATGAATGCGGAAAATTCTTTTATAATAGAAACTTTACATAAAAATGGCACTGGTGAAAGCTACATGTGTTTAATCTAAAGTAGAATAATCTTAAAAGCTTAGCTCTCATCCATTTCAATTTTGCTACCCTAGGGTATTCTTGTAAAATTTTCTTACAGGAAGGGCTGGAGTATGGTATAACCCTTATCATCAAAAGGGTACTAAGGTTATTAAATGTATGATACAATAGTAGACCACTCTGTTATTTCAGAATGATTTTTGTAGGTAATTAGGTCCTGTTCAGAGCATAAGTACAATTTATTTCAATGCAGTCAAGGTACTTACTGAATTAAAAGAGGAGTTTATGTGTCTATTTGAAATGTGTCATCCAAAACAACTTAATATAAAGATGCTCTAAGACTTATAAAATTAGCTTGATTTACAATGTGATCAAAATTATTCAATAGGAAATGTGAAAACATACCATATCTAAGTCAAACACCTATCAATTTCAACTGATATGACAGTATTTTGGAAGTGCCACCTTGAGAGTGGCTAAAAAAAGCAGCTGCTGTTTTCCACAGAAAAGTTGTGACAGTGAATAACTCATAACATTCTCTGAATACTACACTGTACTCACACAAATTCAGGGCAGCAATACCCTGGACATATAGCTTACTTCACATTAGTGAACAAACCTTAATATTTTTATAAGTTCTGACTTTTGGCCAGGAGATAAAATGTCCCCACATATATATATATACAAAACCCTAAGTCTTGGCCTCTTAAATCCTCTAGTTCTAAAATGGCTTTCTGACTTGTCTTTAAAGAGAAAAAAGTGTGCAATGCACTTCTATTTGCACTTCTGAATTAAGAAATACATACATTGAGGAAAAAAAGCTTAGGATGAACTAATGTACTTAGATTGTGTGTACATAACCTTTGGGCATTCATGAGAGGCAGTTTAACTGTCCCTCACCTTATGGGCAACTTTATTTTCTAAGTTACCCAGGAAATGTATTTAACCATTCACAAAAACAAAAATTCTAACATGCACTGTACAAAATCATGGTCTTATTTACCTGCATATTCTTCTACAAGACAGGTATACATTAAAAAATATTGCTCAAAAACATAAAAATATATATTATCTCTTTCCTTTACCATTTAGGCATATAAATATTTTACTGAAGAAGATGCATCATTCAATAAACAAATGCAAAAATGGCTTTATATAAAGTGTGGTTCTCTGCTAATTAGCAATATAAAATATAAAATGATTATAACATAATTACTAGTAAAGAGCTAAATTCAAGAGATTTGCAAGCCAATACAGCAGTGAACAGTTCTTTATACAAAAGTCCATTAAGAAAAAGTCAAGTCAATTTTTTAACAGGTTACATAAAAATCAGGGTCAATAAATGCATTATAAATGCAAAAAAAGAGCACTGCTTCATCAGCACATTCTTCAGTCTTGCTTGGACTAGATGCCAAACTTACTGTTCATTCTTCGGTTCATCTTGTTTTCCATTAAGCTCTTGATCAACTCTGTTTAATGAAAAACAATACAGGTAATAAGACATGAGGAAATGAATAATTTTCTTTCTAAAAACAATTGACTGTTTTTAGCATTGAATATTATTCTGTTAAAAACAAGCTTTGCAAAGAAGCAGACATAGTAAAAAGGTTACCAAACACTTCCCCAACCACCAGGATAATTTTTAAAGGCAAGAGGACACTGACAAGAAATGTGCCTGCTCATTCTTTAAAGATTATCAAATACTTTACATACAAATGCACATAAACTTTATTGAAAATTCAAATTAAAACAGGCATATCAAAGTGTTGAATTGTAGCTTTACTAGGGCAAGGATCTAAGTGGCAAGAGTGACAGGAAAAACAACTCCCTCAAAACTGGTTTTGTTACCTGAAGTATTAAAATGCTACTACTGCTACCTACTAATCAATTAATATTTTTTAAATTCAGTGATAAAAATGAGTATTTAAAGAAATCATAACTGTTCTCCAATATTTACTGGCAAACTCAGAATGTGAATGCATTTACTTACTTGATAGTGAGAAGTCATGAGAGCTTAATCAAAAACATCTAGATGTATATTCAAATTCTGAATGAATTGGCAGTGGGTTGCACAGAGATCATATTAAAATTCAGGCAAACTGAGATTAGAAGTACCTAATTACACACAACTACAGACAATGCTTTTGGTATGATACATGAAGATACTTTTCACACTTGTTTCCATTATTATGATCATTACATCAATGATTATGGTCACGTGAACATTAGTAAATCAGCCAAATGAACAACACCTTAAAATATTTCTTCAATTGGGGCCTCCCTGGTGACACAAGGAGTTAAGCACAGCACTGTGAAGCTGTCCGCAGCCTCTGCAGCACGAGTTTGATTCCTGGGACAGCCAGGGAGCAACCCACATGGCGCAGCAGATCTCTCCTGACTTGTCTGCTGCTCCCCTCAGCCGTGTACTTCAGTCTATCTGCCTGTTCTGTTCCTCACTCTGTCTCTGGTGAATCTTCTCCCCCCCCCCACACCTCTGGCCTGTACCCCAATTCTTGTATGCATAAATAAATAAATCTTTAAAAAAAATTTCTCATATTGGTATAAAAACTTTGAAAGGTATGTATTCTTGGTAAGGCATGCAATGTATACCTGATCTTTTCAACATCTGAAATATCTTCATGAACTAATATTTTAAACTATGTTAAAACATTTTAAAAATGGGTATCTGGTGGCCACACTTGCACTGAGTTATTGAAAAGAAACACCAAAAACATTTAAAACTTCTGTACTTCACTCAGTTTTGTATCCTATTATCAATATTACTCAACAATCAGAGATTTCCCCTCAAGCAGCTCACCCTCATGTAGCCTCTGGTAAGTTTTGGTCTTATAAGGATTCCCCTCTATTAAAGGAACTTGAATGTTACCATTTTCAAGCTGATGAAGAGTTCATTTTTTAGGGTTAAATAAACTTTATATAAAAAACAAGTGCCTGAAAGATATATGTAATGATTCTAATTAATAAGACTCTATTTTAGCAAAAGTTGAAAAAAATAAAACAGTAGCAGTTCAAGTAATATAAATAAAAAGTACAGCTCTACATTTTTGATGCCTAAATTATTTTAACATGCAATTAACTATTATCAACTTTTTAAAAGACACAAAACAGCAAATTTCATCGACAAAGGCAGTTCATTTTGAAATCCATAAAGCAGCTGGCTTCAAAATATTCTATAATTAGAGTGTATATTTCCATATTGTCACTTCTCTGACAAATGAATACCAATACCTAGAAAGGAATAAGACATTAGCAAGATCTAAAATCATTGTCCATATGCCTATGTTAAAATGTTTGTTAAACTGTAAGGTGTCATATAGAATTGTAAAGCTATCATGTGGTCAACTGAAATCTTCCTCATTATCAGTCAAAACAGGTATAAAATTAAGAATGTGCCTGTTCCATAGAACGGTCAAAATAGTAACTACATATAAATTTCTCACCTTAACTATGAAGCCTGAATTAAATTGTGTGCAATTTAATCGATACTTTCAAAATCCATGAACAAGTGAGATCCAAACCCTACATATATTTAAATAACTATTTTAAACCTTGCCTTTCATCTCCTATGCAGACATTAATAGGTAATAGTTTGTTATGCTCAAAGCAGAAGTATTTAAAATTAAATTTAAGATGGAAAGCAGAGTGTTCACTATTAAATGGTACATTGAACTTTTAGGTATTTTATCACATGTAGAATTTGACTGGTTAGCAGGCCACTTAAGCATACAAGGAAAATCAATGTTGGTTAGCCAAAGAACACATGCATTGCAAATATAGTCATCAACCCCAGGAAAATAAGTTGATTCCTCACAAAATTTCAACAATACTTCAAAAGCACAAGTTAGAAATTTAAAAAATATGATGAAACAGATAGTCTTAAAAGCAACTGGTTTTTCAATAATATTCTTAATAATTTCTCCAGTTTTATCACCACTATACCAAAAAGAAGGGGAGAGGCTGTCTTTTAATTTCTAATTGGCATTATAGATGGTGTTAAAACAGGGTCATTTCAAGCTGTATTCAGCATCAGGAACTTACATTCACCCTGTTGTGTTCTGGGGTATATTAATATTTACAAATGCAATTATCTTTGTCTTATGAGCTAACCAACGAGTAAGGAAGAGTTAGTCTGTGCAATGCAAATGGACTAGTCTAGATGCAACCCAGTCAAGGTGTGCATATACCTTTTTTGTTTCTTTTTAAACTTTTCTTCTTCATACCTTGGTAGGGAAGAGTTATTTCAGTAAATATACATGTCATGATGATGCACAAAAACTCAAAAAAAAAAAGGCACTTTTGTAGGCAAAATAAAAAATATTTAATACACTCTAGAAAGTCAAAACTGATTTTAGAAATCTGGCTTTGACACATTAAGCAGACTAAAATCTCAGATTAACAGAACAAAGAATTTTCTTTCTATATTATAGCATTGTGATGTTCAATTATGGATGTTAACAGCTGTCTACCAAGTCCTTTTAAATGTTAGATGAAAGTAAATAATTTGGTAAATAAATTCCTGCCACTGGAAAGTATTATGGTTAGGCTAATAAATAAAATTTCTCTAGTATTACAACTATTCAATGCAATGAGAAGCTTACTCAGATGTGGAGAGCAGCATGTTCAAGTTTGGAGACTGTTCTTTAGGACTGATCAATCAGGAAAGTATATTACAGACTATAACCAGTCTTTAAGAATACAAATAAAACAATTCCTCCTATCTCTTCCACTGCTATGGTGTTAATTATGGGGAAACTGTTAAAAAATGGTTTTCCCCCCGTTCTTTGTTACAAAAAACAAGAACAGTTACAAAATATCTGTAATACATGAAGTGAGAAGGAATGAGCATTAAAAAAATTTACCTTTTGCACAGAAAAACACAAAGACCCAAGACAAAGAAATAAAACAAAACATACTGTTTTATGCATTCTGGTATGCCAACGTACTCCATGGGGACAAGTTCCGCTAGTTCTGCCAAATTAAAGACGTATCTAATTTTTTGGCTGAATTTTGAGCTATGGAAGAAAATAAAAATAATTACCTCATCATTTCTGACCAACAGAACTGACAAGAAATTCATACAAAGCATTTGAACTTTTGTTTTTAAAGTCTATGATGCTCAATAAATTACCTAATAAATGGTCTTGTGACAGCCAGAAGAGTTCTGATAAACCAAGAAGGATGTACGATGATTAGAGATTTTAGGTTTTTCCGTAACCTGGAGTTAAAAAATAATAATAGACCTGGATTAGAAAAAGACCTAGCTATCCAGGTATATCTCTGCTAACTCAATGTGTCATTTTCCCTTCCACATCTTTTGAGAGGTGGGCAATCATCACTACCAGGCTTATAGATTCACTGGCTTGTGTGATGCCTCTTCTTTCATGTTACTGTCCAAAGCAAGAACAAAGAGCTTACAGGTCTTATTCAGTCCTCTGCATGAGATCCTGCAGTTCAAGCTGCTAGAAGACTTACAGAACATGAATACAGACTGATACTACATGGCCCGTAAGAGACAATGAAAGTAACAGGGCAACAGGAAACAATAGCATGAGAATGTAAAGGAATACCTTTCAAGGTAATTTTCTTTCAAAGTGTAGGTCTTTAACATTTTTTTTTTTAGTTACGTTTAAAACCTACATAAAACAGCTAAAGTAATGTCACTAGCAGAAGTCAAATAAACAAGGATGGAGAAGACAGTTGGAAGAGAACTAAGTTTCAGGATCCTTCTTAATCTGGCTCCAATGTAATTTCTCCAGAAAATAAATAAAATTTTAGAAGCTTTACAAATTCTAAAGGTAGAGTATGTGCAGTTTTACACAAAAAATGATTTGAAAATGCCCAATTCAAGCATTCTCATTTAGATGGTGATACCCTTAAAAGAAAAGGAAATACACTGGTGAGTTCTGAAAGTCTCTCCTACTTCTATGACACGTACTTCACTTCATTTGGCTAGATTTATATCCATAGACTAGCCTGCTATTAACTATCTCCTAGCATACATTCTCAGGTCTTTAGGTTAGGACTCTGTCAACCAGGGGTAGTGATCAATACTGAATAGGGAAATAAAAAGTTTTCATTTTTCAAGATTGAGAGGAAAAAGTGAACCAATATCTTTAATGGATGGTAGGCATTATACAGGCAGAAAAATGGGAGTGGAAAATTGCCACAGGAACAATCAACTCTTATTTTTTATGGAATGCAAAATTCTGATTAAAAATTAAAGGCATTATCCTAGACCTTTAAAACAACCAAGTTAAAACATGGTGTTTTGGGGCCTCCCTGATGGTGCAAGTGGTTTAGTGTCAGCACTGTGAAGCTGTCCGCAGCTACTGCAGCGCAAGTTCAATCTCTAGCCAGGGAGGTTACCCACATGGTGCAGCAGACCTCTCCTATCTCACCCACTGCTCCCCTCAGCAGTGTATTTAAGTAGATCTGCCTGTTCTGTTCCCCACTCTGTCTCTGGTGAGTCATCTCACCCCACATCTCTGGTCTGCACCCTAACTCTTGTATGTGTAAATAAACAAACCTTTAAAAAAGGGTGTTTTTATCATCCATATTTCCACACATAAAGTGATCACTAAGGATTTAAACAAAATAACCACAACAACTAGCCAATGGTCCTCTAGGTATGAAGAAAAATCTATTAATGGGTCTTAGCTGATTGAAATAGTTCTAACTGGCTATGTAGAATCAAAGTTTCTTCCATTACTGTAGATGACTAACTCATCCCTAGGATAATACAATTCTAGAGCTCATTGGAAAGAACTATTACAGCTAACCAAGCATCTTAAGAAACATAAAACTATAAAACAGGCAAAATACAGAATTTAATAAAATAGGAACTATAGCAAGTTCTTCATCCTTTCCCAAAATGTACATTATAGGATAATGATCACTGGGATATAAATAAGGAGAAATAAAAAGCTATTTTATGTTTATTTTGAGAAATTAACACTATTCTTTCAAGAGAGCAAAACTGATTTCCTTGAAGATATTTAAGAAATTTTGAAAACACAGGAACTTGCTACAAAATTAATAAATGTAATAGGAGATACATGGTATCTTTAAATGGCAATGGTAAAAAAAAATTCAATAACCCATTATACAAATTATTCAGACTAGCTTCCAAGTTGTATGTATACCTTCTATCAATCTGCTGATAGCATTTCCTGAGCCATCCCAGACTGGGCATTTTTCTTCGAGTTGTTGCACCATTTAAATAAACTATCATGTAGTTTTCTGCTACTAACAGCTCCAAAGTGCCAATAACATACCTGTAAAAATTAGGTTTAAGTGTTAACATTGCTTTGCAGAACCAAACGAAGCTAATCAAACTATACAAATTCTCTTCCCTCAACACACTTAAGCAAAAAAAGCAAAACAATTAAAAGTTAAATGTTACAGTTAGTATTATTTAAAAAAGAAGAAGAGTTCTTATCTTTCAGAAATACATATTGAAATAGCTACAGATAAAATGACAGACTGGGATTTGCTTCAAATTAAACTGTGAGGGGGAGTATAAACTGTAGGAATGAAGTATAAACTGGTAATTGTGGAAGTGAATGCTTGGCATAACAATATTCAATATACTCTGACTTTTTATGTTTGAAATATTCCAAAATCAAGTTTCTAAACACTGTACTAACTTGAAAAATAGACTTTGGAAAAATAACAGAGCTAAGTCAGCTTGGTTATATTTGGCTTTAGGGGGCCTGGGGGTGGTAAATGTAATGTCTATGTGATATTTACATTTTTTTTGAGGTGTCCTTAAATAATGCAAAAAAAAAAAAAGAAACTGGAATAGGGCCTCCCCGGTGGCGCAGCGGTTGAGCGCTGGGTTGCGAAGCTGCCAGCAGCCTTTGCAGTGCCGGTTCGATCCCCGGCCACCAGGCGAGGGTCCCACATGGCGCGCAGACCTCTCCTGCCGCCTGCTGCTCCCTCAGCAGTGTACTTTGTCACTCTGCCTGTTCTGCTCTCTGCTCTGGCTCTGGTGAATTCTCTCACCCTCCCGCGCTTCTGACTGTACCCCAGTGCTTGTATAAATAAATAAATAAATATTTAAAAAAAAGAAAAAAGAAAAAGAAACTGGAACATAATCTGAAACATGTAATTTGAAATGTCTCTTCCAGTTTTAAAGTGACTTGTTTGTTGAGTCAAAAAACAGTTTTAAAATGCTAAATATAGACTTAAAGAATCAGGTCTAAGGGCCTCCCTGGTGGCGCAGTGGGTTGAGGACAGCGCCGTGAGGCTGTATGCAGTCTCCACGGTGCAGGTTTGATTCCTGGCCAGCCAGGGAGATTCCCACATGGTGTGGCAGACCTCTCCTGTCTCGACCACTGCTCCCCTCAGCAGTTTATTTTGGTCCTTCTGCCTGTTCTGCTCCCTGCTCTGTCTCTGGTGAATTCTCTCACCCTTCCATGCCTCTGGCCTGTACCCCAGTGCTTGTATGAATAAATAAATCTTAAAAAAAAAAAACCCAGGTCTAAGATATTTATAATTTTCACCCAACTAAAGTTTACTTCCTTAAACTGGAGATCTAATTATTCATATTTCTGCCTAAACATTTTTGTGACGATATACTCACTTAAAGAGATTGTCCATCAGATATCTATAGTTAGGTTGACCACTTTCAGGCATAAAACAGACAGCAAACACAACAATGGCATTTAATCCATCCCCATAATATCCTGAAAAAGAAACCAAGGATAAAATCAGTAGCATGATTTTACTCAAGATTTTTGAGAGGACAACTGTGTATGTCTGATATATTATAGTGGTTGACCAAATTTCTGAATCAAAGAGCATGTTTTTTTCCCTTAACCTCATACATACACTTTCGTAAAGATCCTTAAATCCCCTCTTTTCAGAAAGAGAGCAATAAAATTAGAAGGGCAGTTAAAAAAAACCAGAATCTCAGTTAAAGTAGCATAATCAGAAAGCCCAGTCTTATTTTAGCAAGTAGACAAAGTGATGTAATTCAAGGAGACAACAACATCATCTACAATAAAACAATTATATTCAATTTATGATTAAACATGGTGCTTCTTAAAATTCAATAGTATCTAGCACCTTGTAGATTTTAGGACATTAAAAAACCTAAGAAAAGATTACTTCTCTGACATAATTCTACCTGAAGATAAATAGTGTTAAAATGTATGTATTTCAATTATAAACTCTAGATATTAAGCTGTATCCACAGGAAATATTTCTGCTTTAACTTTCATTTCTATTGTTTATAAATACGCATTGAAAGGTTTGAACATTTCAAGTATATTAGAATCTTCACTACCTTTTTCAATCCCTTAATCATCAAACATGTTGTAATAATTCAATAGGAATAAAGGGCCTTACTTATTATTTTCCCTTAAGAAAAATAGTTATTTCTGAAAGATATTAGGTTCAAACCATGAGGCAGGTTGCACAACTTGCTTTCTATGAACTACCTAAACTAATGCGTGTCTGAGGACTTCCAGACCCAGATTATCCCATTTTCTTCATCTGAATAAGATTAAATTAGGCAGAATAATGTAACTGCAAATATTCAAGTGATCTGCTTTCAGACCAATGAAGACTATAGAAATAAGCAGGGGAATGCATTTGACAGAAAGCAAATGAAGTGTAAATAACTCTACATGAAAAACCAATCTGCTTGACCTATGTGGCTCCCTCGCCTGCATTAGATTTTCAGGTAATGTGACAGACTCCAAATAGTAAGTTACATTTTGACTCTCACTAACATTCTGACACTATTTACACAATGAGTAGGTAAACTTCTATACAGGCACAGTCAGATAAATTACAATTGATAAATTACAATTATACTTCATACCTTCCCTGTTTGATTTAAAAATTTCTTAAGAGGTGGGAAAAAGTTTTGTATTTTCGTATACACCACAAACATGCAAAGTAGGCATGCTGTAAAATGTGGAACGAACCTAGTTCTCTATGTTGTGGTAAAGTGGAATGATTTTTTTCAGAATTTTAAGGTGAATTAAGAGTCATAGTGTAAAAAAGTTAGGTTTTACTTATATCCACAAAAGACTTGTACAAGAATGTTTGCACAGCAAACTGAACAGTAATAGTCCAAACTGGAAAAAAAGCACATCTCCATCAAAAGGAGGATGGATGAGTAAACTGCATTATTCATTCAATGGAACAATACTCTGCAATTAAAAAGGATTATAGCATTTCACTGTATATGTTATAAAAAGATAAAAAGGGGAGAAAGTAAAGTCCCAGTTTGGGGGGGGGGAGGGTTATTGTTATTAAATATTGGTTTACCTTTTACTTCAAACCTGTATATTTAAAATTCTATGACGAATGTTTATTATATCTTAAAAATTATGTAATACCTTAGGGAGAATTTATGCAAGCTTTTAGAGTTCTGACATTGCATGAATAAATCTCAACCATCCTAAACTCTTACCTCCATGGCTGATAACTTTTTTATAAGGTTCAATTGCTTTCATATCAACCCTGTGGTCCTGTTCTCCAATTCTGAACATACGCCAGCGCCTTCCATCTTCTTTCTCTTCTGTAGCTGTGTATTCAGTAATTGAATCTTTCCTAATAACTTCAGTAGTTTTGGGTTTTGGAAGATCATCTGTCAAAATAAAAAGATTTTTGAATCACAAATTGTTATTTATATATATATATAAATCAAATTACATGTTAACCACTTTACTATCTAATTAGATTGTTCAGAGAATTTTTCATTATACCTTTGATGAATTTTAAATATTTTTTCCATAATAGAAGAAAAGGTTTGCTCTTTATATGTGACTATATTTAGTGTTTTTGGAAATCATGGTTCTTTACCTTCTTGTACTTAGAAAAGAACCGAATCACAACACAAGGTATATAATTAAGTTCAGAAAGTATAATTCATACAATCATAACCTATAATATCTTTCGATTCAAGATTTTATGTATAATAACACAGCCCTTGACAGTTACTGCTATAGGTTACTTAAAGTAACTATCAGGGAGCCAATTGCTCTTGTTATTGAGCACAAAAATTATTCCCCAAACATTATAATACCAGATAGAAAGTGGTTAACTAATCAATGATTATTCCTCATTTGATCAGTTTCATAAGGCAGAAATTTATTTATAATATTCTGAAGTATACATGCAAAAGTCTAATTGTAAATTAACATTAGCCAAAGCATAAGCACCAATGATCAGATGTAATTTATATTTCAAGATGGCATTTTAGATTATTTTTAATGAAGTAATGATTTCAAAATTTTAGTATCATAGTCCTTACCAAAAGATGGGGGAAGGGGAACCTACTGCATGTTAGTTGTTTGTTTCCAAGACAAAGTTGTTAACGGAAAATATCCTTCCAGGAAATGACTACAGCAGCATTAAAGAAAGAAGAGACAAAACACATAGGCAGAAAACTATTTCAGTATCTTTATAAAATATGACTTATTACTGGACTGCTTATTGAACCAGTAAAACAGGGAAGGAAGAAGTAACAAAAGATAGTGCATACCGAGGATCCTTACTCTTTACTGAAGATCTGATACCTAGTACTAAATACTATTTTGAAGTAAAAATCATTTCAAAGATAGAATATATTACAACAACTATATAAAAAGAGTGTAGACACCAATTACCTAATTAAAGGAATCATGTAAAGCAAAAGACATGCCAACTCCTTTTAACTCCAAATAACTAATGGTAAAGAACAAGGTTTGGAGGTGAAGAATATACATTAATTCAAGTTGGTCATTTACAAGTGTAGCACTATCAGGCAAACCTACTGAAAAAAAACTGCACTCAATAAAACTCCCTTCAGAACTCCCTGTCAATCCCTTTAGCACACTTCCAGTTACATGTCTCTTCAGGTTTTTTTCCCTTAGTGGATGGACTGAATTAAAGAGTATGCCATAATTATCAAGCAGTATCTGGGAAGCAACCATGAAAAAATAACTTCATAGCATTGGTGATTTAGGGAAAAATTAAGCTGTTCACCTACCATAAATGGCTTTGAAAGCCATGAGAATATCCAGTGTTGGCAGAATTTCCTATCCTAGTAACAAATATATGAACTTTAGAAATAACATGTCGACAAAATCCCTTGAAACAATGATTTTAGTTGGTTTAATGATAAAGTTTTAAGTTTCTTCCATTATCCTAATTTTTCTAATATGAGAATGTCATTGTAAAAATATTTATGTATATATGACGAACATTCATAAAGAAAAGTCAGATAAAAACACTGAAACATTGGGCCTCCCCGGTGGTGCAGCGGTTGAGCGCTGGGTTGCAAAGCTGCCCGCAGCCTCTGCGGCACCGGTTCGATCCCCGGCTGCTCCCCGGCCACCGGAGGAGGGTCCCACATGGCGCGCAGACCTCTCCTGCCGCCCGCTGCTCCCCTCAGCAGTGTACTTCGGTCCTTCTGCCTGCTCTGCTCCCTGCTCTGGCTCTGGTGAATTCTCTCACCCTCCCGCGCTTCTGACTGTACCCAGTGCATGTATAAACAAAACAAACAAACAAGCAAATAAATAAATTAATTAAAAATAAATTAAAAAAACAAAACAAAACAAAACACTGAAACATTTACCTTCCCACTCAAATTCATTACTGTTCTCTGATGGTGTGTCTAAGCCATCTAAGTCAATTTCCCCACTTTCATCCAATTCATCTGACAACACAGAGCCATCACTAGGATCCAGGGTCAGGCTAATGTCCGGAGCCATTAGTTTCTTTCTTACTTTATTTCCATTAACTTCAAGTGAGGCTGGAATGGGTAAACAAAGTCAAAGAAATATTAGAATGGATACTTAGATGCTCAAGTTGGATACAGAGAAAAAAGTTAATCATTTCATTTGTGAAAAAACATTACCTAAACATAATTCCAAAATACCAATTTATAAACTTTGGATTTTGATTCCTATTGCTTCTATATAATGGCAAGATGACATAGCCCAGCGAGGCTATGTCTTTAATAACAGAGGCAGATCTTATAATTACCTCTTAATACTAAGAGGTAATTATCCCCTTTATTTCACCCCTCTCACCCCTTTATTTCAGAAATGTCCAAAAACCAAGGGTATATTTTTGGAAAGTTAAATTTCCAAAGCATTCCAAACGCTTTCCTCAACATTCAACTCATTCTTGGGTCACTTATGATAGAACAAAAAGTGAATATTTTTTTCTCTTTGACAAAGGAATGTGTTTAAAATAGCACCGTTGAAGTCAATCACTGCTCTGAAAGCAAAAGTATCAGGTTCTTACCAGGCTCGCTCTCTGGTCTAGTCACAGCCAGTATGTCAGCTTCAATACTATCATCTTCTGGTAAAGGTCTAGAAGACACAGACATACTTTCAAATCCAAAAATAACACCCACCCCCCAAGTTTAAAAATCTATTAAAAATACTTTATGGAAACAATTACATGGAAGATGGAATAAAGCAGTGTTTAAGCTTCAGTAATTTACAAACCATTTTTAAGGAAAAAGTTTTCAGACTGTCAGAGTTGACTTACATATTTATAAGTAATACAAAAACAGCATAAATTCCTTATGCGACTGCTCTTAAATATAACTGTAAATGAGAAGCCAAGTGCTAGCAAACAAATGTAATTCAAAGGCATGAATTTAATGTGATGTATGATGAACCTTACAATAGGAGTAAGGTGATGACAGCTACAATTCTTGAGTTCAGCGTTTCTATATTACTTTTAACATCATGTACCATGTAATGATTCAGATCTTCCCCAGATGTCTATGTTCCATCTGCCAAGGGAACTTAATGAGTGCAGTGGGATGCACTTCTGACCAAGATGCCATGGAAGCATCATTTAAATACACTTTCTGTTAGCCGAACTGGTACCAATACAATTGTAAATACAAATGCAAATGTGTTAAGGCAGCTGGCCAGTAGGTCCAGAACACCCTTGCTTTTTTTCCTCTTAAAATAAAAACACAATATTTAAAAACTTTTACAGATAAAGACCCGCCCCTCCCAGAAATCCCTCAGATTCTAGTTTAAGAAAAACTGCATCAAACATTGTTTATAACAGCAAAAAGTTAATTAAAATGTTTAAAACAAAAGATCATAGAAGACTATATATTTTGGCTGGAAAGTAAGCTATAAGAGAATGAACATTAATTGTTGAAAAGCTACTTTCAGTACCGGTTTCTCTAAGAAGCCAATATTGGGACTCCCTGGTGGTGCAAGGGGTTAAATTAAGTCTTAGCACTATAAAGCTATTCACAGCTACTGCAGCACAAGCTCAGGGAGCTAACCCACATGGTGCAGCAGACCTCTCCTGTTTCTCGCCTGCTGCTCCCCCCAGCAGTCTATTTCAGTAGACCTAGTAGATCTGCCTGTTCTGCTCCCCACTCTGTCTCTGGTGAATCCTCTAAACCTGCACCTCTGGTCTGTACCCCAGTTTTTATATGCATAAATAAATAAATCTTAAAAAAAAAAAAAAAGCCAATATTCATTTTGTAAATGACAACTAAGTAAAGAAATTTTGAAGTTTTATTCTAAATTTGTTTTCATTTAAAGTATTGCTCACATTGGAAAATCTTCATCTTGCCATTCTTCTTTAAGTTCCACACCTTCCATCCTCAATTTGGACTCAATGTCAACTGCCAGCTCCTGGTAATCCAGAGAGCCAATGTCCTGTGAAGAGAGATAAATTTATATATGAAATTTATAATTTATAAATAAAATTTATTTTCCACTTTACTTTCATCTGTCAGTTCATACTCCACCCAGGCAACCATATATAGTTTCAACATGACCATTACTGAGCTACTCAAAGGTTTTCAGTAACTGTCCAGTAAATGAATTGTGCTACATTTTGATTTGTTTCCTATCCACACCAAGCTTTTCTCACAAAGTTCAGCATGAGTTTTCAGGCACTGAAGTTGGTGAATAATTTTATTCATGCAATTATATTTTAAACTAGGTGATGAATTTTAATTTTAGTTTTTCCAAGGGAGGTTATGAGTACCAATATCCTCACTTAGTAGGAGGAGTCTAGAGACTGGTTTGGTTGATGGAGTAGTAAATAGAGTCTTCAGTATACTATCAAAAAAGTCATGAGGACCAGGTCAACAGTGCAACAAAAACTGTGACTAAGTGGCAACAGGTACAAATGAGTTTTTAGTTCACTTACATGAGAATCAAAAGGCAGTAAAACATATTGAAGGGGCAGGAAGTATCACTAAATTCAGTAATAATAGTAAAAACAAAGTAAAAGTAGTTCACACCTGTGGAAAAGGAGGGTGGAATGAGGAGAATGTTGTTTTTCATAGTCCTTCTAAACTATATGACTTTTAAAACCATGTATGTATAACTTAAAAATACTTATCAAATAAAACAAATGGTGTCAGTAATTCACATGCACTCCAAAAAATCCTCTAAATTAAGACATGGTCAAAGTTTCATGGTGACCTTATTTGCTACAGCATTATAACATAACACTCAAAGGATGGGCAAAGTGGTTCAGAAAAAGCATTACGTTCTAGAACAAGAATAAAATTACACTGGGAATTATCTTAAGTGCTAGATTTCATATAGTAAATAAATTAAACTCTCTGCCAAGAATGGGAGGCTCTCTTGCCAGTTTAAATTCTTATGCTCAAGGGAAAGTTTCAAACATTCTCAAAAGATTTAAATTTTTGAGCACCCACTAGTTACCATAGAAATAAAAGCAAATGCTATCTTTTCTTCACTAACATATTTGCTGGGAAAAAAGCAATGAATTTATGTATTAGAGCAAGTCATTTTTAATTTTCTAAGAAAATGAGACAGGCAATTTTGAAAGATTAATGAAAAACACACTTAAAAGACATTTGACTTTTTTTTAGCAGTTTCTATTTCTAAAATATAGCCTACACTTCAATTAACACACATCTTCAATGATCACTTTATAAATTGTTCTCCTCTGACAATTTTTTCTCTGTAGAGAGGAATATAAACAAGAAAGGGTTATCTACCTTACTAATCTCATCAATTTAGAAGACAGAACTAGTAGAAAAGACCCCAAAATTACAGACAAGCCTGAATACTTTAATACTTATTACTCTAGAAGTCTTCTACTACTCAAGGTTGAAAACTAATATTCTCTTCCCAATTTTTAATTCACTGGTATACTTCTTTTTTTTTTTTTTAAGATTTATTTATTTATACATACAAGCACTGGATACAGTCAGAAGCGCAGGAGGGTGAGAGAATTCACCAGAGCCAGAGCGGGGAGCAGAGCAGGCAGAAGGACCTAAGTACACTGCTGAGGGGAGCAGCGGGCGGCAGGAGAGGTCTGCGCGCCATGTGGGACCCTCCTCCGGTGGCCGGGGAGCAGCCGGGGATCGAACCGGTGCCGCAGAGGCTGCGGGCAGCTTCGCAACCCAGCGCTCAACTGCTGCGCCACCAGGGAGGCCCTCACTGGTATACTTCTTAATTGTTTCTCAAGTCTTTGGTACTCTAAGTGAATTAACATATTTTCCTAAATCAACAATTGGAAAAGTTTTCCATGATTTCACCTCACCTTTTTACTGGGTGTTGGAAAAATACCAGGATGTTCTGTGTTTCTCAAATATCCCACATACTCAGAAAAATATTTAATATTTCAAAAATGCAAGCAGTGACTGCACAATGCCTGACATATATTAAGTATCAATATTAGTTAAATGAACATATAATAAGGTATGGCGCTGGATAGCAAGCCTTTGTTTTGTTCAAACTTTTAGGCTTATTTTTCTTATTAAACTATGCAAATAGGCTTCCTATTATGCTTTACCATTCAAAAAGTGTAACAAAAATATTTGGGGCAACTTACATACATGCAACATCAATTTTTGCTGGAGTCTATATTTTATACTTGTAAATATACATATCCTGTGAAATGCTAGAAGACAAGCCACATCTTTTAGCTGCTTTACCACTTGAACAAGTCTCTCACTCAAAAAAAGTGCCTCTAACAGAAAACCCAAGTCTTTCAGCTGCCAGCCTATTCAATTTTTAATTTTAATATACTGAATTGTGTGATGTCAACACCACAACATATGGACATGGGTACTAGTTTGTGGATAACTAAGCTAGTTAAACAGAACTTCAGAGGAGACATGCAGAGTCACGACCCACTTCATCAAGAATTTTCAAAGATGGCCTCCCCGGTGGCGCAGCGGTTGAGCGCTGGGTTGCAAAGCTACCCGCAGCCTCTGAAGCGCCAGTTTGATCCCCGGCTGCTCCCCGGCCACCGGAGGAGGGTCCCGCATGGCGCGCAGACCTCTCCTGCCGCCTGCTGATCCCCTCAGCAGCGTTCTTCGGTCCTTCTGCCTGTTCTGCAACCAGCTCTGGCTCTGGTGAATTCTCTCACCCTCCCACGCTTCTGACTGTACCCAGTGCTTGTATAAAATAAAATAAATAAATAAATAAATAAATAAATCTTAAAAAAAAAAAAAAGAATTTTCAAGGAAAAGGACACGAAGATGATGAAAACTGTAAAATGAGAATACTGTTCTTGGAAGCTCTTACTCACTAGCAGCTCTAAGAACAGGAACAAACAAGAAAGGAGCAATATAAGCACACCCACTTTAAAGGAAATAGGGATATTGCTGACACAGGTTTACTGTGGTTAATTCCCATTTTTTTACCCACAGATTTTGTAAATTAGAATGGGGAAATAACACTTTAAGATGCTATTTGTTAAATTAACTTAATGAAACAGGAATAACTTGATTTCTCAACCAACTTGTAGTAGAGGTAACACATCCTTACTTATGCCCATTATCAGTGTGAGTGATAAGAACAACTTCAAAATAGTCACTGACCTCAGTGAGGTTAAAAATTAAGGTGAATAAGGATTTTTTTTCCTGGCAACTTCTGAGGGGAGATGGGGTGGAAAATTCAATCAAGAGGAAGAAAGGTATTTTTTTCTAATCAGCTTAACAATATAAGAAAAAACAATGTCTAATTTAAACCGCCTTAATTTTAACTTTTAATTTTACATGGCAACTTTACTATTATGTTGTTTAACAATGCTGCTAGAATAAGGTGCTAGTAATCACCATCTATGCTGAGATTAATTACAACTGGCAGAAGGAAGTGCCCAGGCAAGCATTTCACTTTCCCATTTTAACGAAAGGGCTTTATTCTCAAGATTTATGATCACTTTTTCCTGAGGCTGGCAATGTTGTTAGCACTATAGGAAAATACTTTAGGCCTGTCTAAGTATCACCAAACACCACTGGAGAGATCATATATGCCTCGTCACTGCTTCCTTGAGAACAGTCATGTCAGTTACTAAGAATGAGATGAAACACTCTATCAGAAACATTAACACAAAATTCAAAGAAAAACTACAAAGGTGTTAACTTTCCTCAAACTTGTGAAAATAAAGCAAAGAATAAATTATGTCATCTATAAAAGGTATATTTATTAAATTATCACTAAACAGAACATACTGGAGATGCTCTGTCCTTTAAAAAGAGTAAGTCTAAGTGGCGCAGCGGTTGAGCGCTGGGTTGCGAAGCTGCCCGCAGCCTCTGCAGCGCCGGTTCGATCCCCGGCTGCTCCCGAGCCACTGGAGGAGGGTCCCACAAGGCGCGCAGACCTCTCCTGCCGCCCGCTGCTCCCCTCAGCAGTGTACTTCGGTCCTTCTGCCTGTTCTGCAACCCGCTCTGGTGAATTCTCTCACCCTCCCGCACTTCTGACTGTACCCAGTGCTTGTATAAATAAAAATAAATCTAAACAAAAAAAAGTTAAGTCTAATAAATGATATCTAACACTTTGTTGCAGAATTACAAATATTACTTGTAATATAAAATAATTTTGGACTATTACTATCATCAGTTCTGCTAGTATTCTGCCTTACAGAACGTCAGTTTAACAAGACATCCTTTCCATCACTGTTAGTCAAGGTTAACTTATTCGATCTGGGTAGCTCTTCTGCCAGCCTGTGGCTATGCAGGTGCCTCTCTTTTTTCTTTCTCCCTTTCTTAATAAACCTGTCCTTTCAAAATGTAAAAAAAGAAAAAAACTGGATCAGGCTATATAAACTTCCTTTCTTAAGTGCCAGTCTCTCTCAGAGGTGCTACCCAGCATTACTCTAGATAAAAAGAACAGAATCGCTTTCCCCAAAGAGCGCTTTTCACATTTACTAATCACGTGTACATTCACCATCTTTACGTTTCAACGAACAATTCTGTGAAATATAAATCACTGGTGTTATTATCCCCACTTTATCTAAGTCAAATAACACTACACTATGGTTCCCAGACCTAGACCTAACTGTTTCTAAAACAGCAGAGTCCCCGGTTTATTAGCAACTGTATACAGAATAAGCCTATAATGCCAGATTTGGTTACACACAGTACTGCCATGTCCACATTATTGTAAAACCTGCAATAGTACTTATGGTGATCTCATTCGAGCCCCATGTTTGCAGAAGTGGACCCTTCCTTTTTCCTGTCTACACTCAACACGACGAGGCTGCAATAGAGATCATGAAGACCAACACTACTTTCGACAGAACGTAAAATGACAACTAAAGAAATGATGTGTAAGACCATCAAGAAATTTCTCTGGCACGGTAATTAAATTGGGTAACTTCAGCTATAGTTTTGAGGAAACATATGCGTTTACTAATTTCAGAAATTCATATAAAAAAAGAACACGGGTAACTATTTTTTAAATTTAAGAAGCCAATCAATGGGATAGACATCCTAATCCAAAAAATGCGATGACTGAAAAAAGCACCTCTAAAACGCAGAGTGCATGTTCAATTAATTGCATGGAAGGCGCTCCCACAGCGAAAGCTGTACTCTCCAGTTCCCCAAACAGGCAGTCAAAGGAAGTCAAAGCACCGCAACAGACCCCTACATAATTCCGACTTCACAGACTGAGAGCCCTCCAGGAGCGTCGCCTGCACCCAGGAAACCCACACCACTCTTGCCAGGCATCTCAGCAAAAGTAGGGTGTGATTCTTCGCAGGAACTAGGCCTTTCGCGCAGGAAGGTCTGCTAAGGGCCGATTGCAAAAGCCGCTTCCGCGTCTTTTCCCCGAGGGCAGAGGGAGGCACATCTCAAGTCCAAGTTTCTTTGTTCTGCAGCAGGACGGACGCTGGCCACAAATGCCGGACGGTCGGACACCGCCCCCAGCCCGGGCGCGTGCAGGGCGCCGAGAAAGGCACAGGGTCCGCGCGAGCACAGCCGCCACGAACGGAAAAGGGGTGGCGTCGCGGGGGGTGAGGGGGGGGCCCGGGGAGGCAAAGAGGAGCCGCGCCAAGGGCGGGGGCCCGGTCTGGGCGGGGATCCGGGAAGTGCCCCGGGCAGGTTCAATGGCGCCCGCCACGGCGGAGAACCCCGCGAGCTTCCCCCGGCCGCCGCCCGCGGGCCCGCGCCCCCCGCGGCCCGCCCCCAGGCGCGTCCCAGCCCACTCCGCCGAGCCCGGCCGTCTCGGGCCGCACTCACCCCGGAGGAAGCCTCGGCTCCCTCGTCTCCTTCGCCCCTCCAGGCCGGCGACGTGGGGCTGACGGCCAGGTCGCAGAAGGCGGCGCCGAGCGGAGCCCGCTCCCCTCGGCCGGCGGTGGAGACCCGGGCCCAGCGCCCCAGCCACAGCGGCAGCGGAGGCGGCGGCGGCGGCGGCAGCACCTGACCCGGACGCAGAGCGCGACCCCGGCGGAAGTGACAACATCCAGCCCGTTCCCAGGCGCGGCGAGCGGGGAGGCGGAGGCCGGCGGTCTGGAAGCCCCGGGATCCCTCCCAGCGCCTTTAGCCTTCGCGCGCATGCGCCCCGCGGCGGCCCAGCGTCCCCAGGGCGGCGCGTGGCGTGCGCGCCTCTCCCGCGGCGCCCGGGCCGGGGCTGGCGCGTCCCGCCCTTTCCTCGCGCTTGGGACGCGGCTTCGGGTGCTTCTGTGCGTTGTGTTGGCTTTGTTGATCCTCCCGGAGCTGCGTGCTATAGAATGGAAGAAATGCCTGGAGGGACAACATCCGAGCCCTCCTCTGGGGAGACTAGGACCTTAGGAGTTTTCGAAAATTTTCTAATGTGAACAGCTTTTCCACAATACTTGTCCAATTGTGTTGATGTGTAGGGAGCGATCAATTAATTATTTTTTTAATCTCCAGTTAAAACGACTACTTTAAAATTCCAATGTGGATCCCTTTTTCTGTGCTTGTCTCGCCACGGACCTTAAGCAGCTGCAGGAAGCTGTGGTGAGGCGGGCCCGGGTCTGCGGCCCGTGGTAGTGACGGGGCCCCGCGGCTTCCAGAGGCTGCCCGCAGCCTCGGCAGCGCCGGTTCGATCCCCGGCCGCCGGGCGAGGGTCCCGCATGGTGCGCAGACCTCTCCTGCCGCCCGCTGCTCCCCTCAGCAGTGTACTTCGGTCCTTCTGCCTGCTCTGCTCCCCGCTCTGGCTCTAGTGAATTCTCTCACCCTCCCGCGCTTCTGACTGTACCCAGTGCATGTATAAATAAATGAATAAATCTTAAAAAAAAACCCAAAAAACAAAAAACAAGAATTTGCAATCTGGTTTACTTAAAAAAAAAAAAAAAAAAAGAATCCTCAGAAAATGCACTCATTAAATCCCTGCGAGGTAGTACGGAAAGTGGCGCTTAAGGGGAACAGAAGAGCTCAGAAGTTGAGTCCGTGATTCGAAAAGTATCCCAGTGAACTTGACTTTGGCAACATTTCCTCACTGTGGCAGGTGGTTTACGCTCTGGTCCGTCTGTAAAATAGGGGGGAAATATCTATTTGATAAGGGTTTTTTGAGTTAAAGTCATTAGAACAGTGCTTGCCATATTATAGTCATATTGTTGTAGAGCAACCCCGATACAAAACGGGGTATGTAACAAGTATTGCTAGTTTCCTCCCGTTCTAGCAGTTTTGTTAGATGCCCGGAAGAGAAAACAAGCAAAACTGATCAATGGGGCTTTGGCTAAACACGTCTTGGGCCATGTTCCGTAAAAAATTTCATCTTCCGTTGCAGATTTTCTGAGTTCCATATTTTGCTTATTTCAGGCCTGCAATGAGAAGTATTCACCACAGGGGGGCAGAAAATCATATGAAATTGTATTGCAATCTTTAGTTTCTTCATTTTAGTAACTTTGTTGAAAAAGCTTCAGCAGTGTTTTGGTTTTGAGTAAGCCATTCTATTTTTATCTCTCTCATGAATTATTCATAATTTTAAAACTCTAAAAAATACAGACAAGGCAAAAAAGGTAATCACTACTGATACATTTATGCATAACCTTTCAGATTTATATATATATCTCACTGTATAAATAGCATATGTATATTTTTATAAAAATGAAATCATGTACCTACTGGTTTATAATCTAATTTTCCCTCTCATTAAATATATATAATGAACTTTTCAAGTCACAAAATATTTTTCTACACTGTCATTTTTATTACAGATCGTTATGTACTAACAAATTCTTACTGAACATTTAAGTTACTCCATTTTTTATATTAAAAACATTTCATAGACTGTCCAAAAAGGGCAGAAACATAGGGCTAACTTATTTTCATGCTTTAAACTACCTACACTTTCAAATAATATGTACAAATTTTCCTTCAACTTCTCGATGAAATAGCTCTAAAGCAATGGGTCAATTGTTAATCTGAAAAAGTATAAAAAAGGCATTGTTTTCTCTGTGTTTCTGAACTTTGTGAACAATCAGTAGTGTATTCATATAATCACTTGTTTTTCTATGTTCCTCCTTGGAAAGGCAGACATTTAGACTCTTAAAAATTGGAAAAGAATTTAGTGGGTAAAAAGCGTGACTTCCAGACCCTACGTAGAAGGTATCATTTGGAAAGCGATGCATTAACTCAGCCACCATTAAACTGTTTTGTTTGTGATTTTGGCCTTGGTGTTTTATTGAACACCCTAAAATGACACAAGCACTTAAGAGTTGTCTATAGTTTTATCTTTAAAAAATATGGATATTAAACTGAACGGAAATTTTGTGTGTAGTCCTATGATATGAAGTAGAGAATGTGATCTTAATAAATTGCCAAACACCTCATAGTGATGGAGGATAAGAATAGGAAAACTGGAAAGGAGATTCAAGGTCAAGAACGTAACTCACACAAGGAGATAGGGGTAGAAGAGATTAGCATAAGCCCTTAACCCAGTTATAGAAACCAAGACCGTTAGGCATCAATGCCCAGATCAGGAGGCGCAACTATCAGAAACTATCAGAATGGTGCTGGGAAAACTGGGTCGCTACATGCAAAAGAATGAAGCTTGACTACTACCTAACACCATGCACAAAAATCAACTCAAAATGGGTTAAAGAACTAGACATAAGACCTGAAACCATAAAATACATAGAAGGAAATATAGGCGAAACACTACGTGATTTGCACATCAAAGACATCTTTACAGACACATCACCCAAAGCAGTCATAGTGAAGGCCAAGATAAACAGCTGGGACAATATCAAATTAAAGAGATTCTGCACAGAAAAAGAGACAATAACAAAAACAAAGAGAAACCCCACCGACTGGGAGAACATTTTTGCACACAACACTGATGATAAAGGACTGATCACAAAAATCTGCAAAGAGCTGATGAGACTCAACAAAAACAAAATAATCCTGTCAAAAAATGGGCAGAAGAGCTAAAAAGAAACTTCTCTGAAGAGGAAAAGCAAATGGCCAACAGGCATATGAAAAAATGTTCACCATCACTTGTAATCAGGGAAATGCAAATCAAAACTACCATGAGATACCATCTTACACCAGTGAGAATGGCACATATTAAAGAAACTAGCAACAACAAATGTTGGCGAGGTTGTGGAGAAAAAGGAACTCTCCTGCACTGTTGGAGGGAGTGCAAACTGGTCCAAGCACTATGGAGAGCTGTGTGGAGATTTCTTGACCTACTCAACATAGAGCTTCCATATGATCCAGCAATTCCACTCCTAGGTATTTACCCAGAGGACACAGAAACATCAATTCCAAAGAGCACCTGCACCTCTATGTTTATAGCAGCACTGTTTACAATAGCTAAGCTTTGGAAACAACCAAATGCCCAAAAATAGATGACTGGATCAAGAAGATGTGGTACATATACACCATGGAATATTACTCAGCATTCAAAAAAGAGAAACACATGCAATTTGCAGCAACATGGATGGTACTGGAAGGGATCATGCTCAGCAAAATAGGCCAGAAAGAAAAAGAAAAATACCGGATGGTCTCACTCATAGCAGGAATCTAGAAAACTTAAATAAGGGACCAGGAAAAAGAATAACTATAAGAAAGAAAATATCAAAATCAACAAACAACTATGAACCAGAGACACTCTATGGGGGGTGGGGAGCGGGGAAAGGAGGGCTTGGGGTCAAAATAAGGGGGTTGAATTATATGGGGAATATAAAAATAAAATTTAAATTAAAAAAAAAAAACTATCAGACTACTATAGGGAGTGTCAGGAGCACAAACCATCCACCTAAAAAGATGAGCCCCCTCCTGAAGATGATAAAACCTAATGCTGCCCTCACAATGGGGTGCCGCAGACAGGATAGCCCGATGAAGTTTTCTGCCATTAACAAAGACTCAGGGTTTAAACGAATTTGCAGTGGGGGGAGGCTGGGAAGAGCGCCATCGAGAGCAGCTCTGCCTCTCACTCTCCCAGCCCACGCTTTTATTGCAGATATATAGCATGCAGTTGTGTTTTTGCTTATACAGATTAATAAGTTACTGCTGAAAACAAGTTGTCCTAGTTACTAGGGAACATGTGCAGAAGCCAGCACATCCTCAGAACAGGAGTCAATTCTGGGAAGAAGTTCTGTTTGCAGAACTTCTAACGTCCTGGAACTCCGTACGCAGAGTAAACAGGTATTCTCCAAAAACTCCAGCTCCTTTAGGGCAGCAGGCTACCATCAACGGGGCAGCAGTCTTTCTGCCCACCTGTGACTATGCAGGTGTTTCCTTTCACCAACTCTCTCCTCTGCAGGCAGCAGCCTCCTGCCTGCCTGTGCCCTGTACCAGGCCGGGCCTTCTCTTCACTGACCTCCCTCAGCGGAGGCAGCTCTCCTTAAGGCCGCACGCCTGCGACCATGCAGGCCTCTCTCAGCAGACCTGTCCCTTTCGGGGCAGCTCTTCCTGCCCACCTGTGTCTATTCAAGTGTCTTTTACTATCCTATCCCTTTTCTAATAAACCTGCTCTTTAAGTATAACTAATGTCTCTGCCTCGTGGAGAAACTTGCCTGGGAAACTCGCTTCGTGCCGCTGAAAGGGATGCTCTGGTGATACCTTTCCCAGAGTGAACCCAAGGACCTTGCACTCCAAAACCACTGACTCCAAAAACGACATCAGTAACATCATTTATTGAATAATCCGCTAATTCTTGAATTTGAGTAGGACTCAATCAAATGAATGTTGACCTCCACACTTGTCATCTTAGGTTATCCACTTCATTTATGTATCCATTCACAAAATTTTTATACAAGCCTTACATCCATTTATAAAACATTGTTTGACCAACTTTTTATTGAACAATATTATAAGTTAATACTGTTGGAACCTCAGGGTACAGATAAAGATTACGATTCCCGTCCTCAAGAAGCTCACAGACTAGTCAGGAAGAGGGGCAAGCGAAGAAAAACACAGTGTGGTGGGTTGAGGAGACCTTGATACTTCCAAGGTACAGTTAAATAGAAAGATGCTAAACACATTGGTGGGTGGGAGGTGGGCACATTAAGTGAAAAACTTCTGAAGGCTCAGCAGGATTGGAACACAAGCAGTGGGAGGGTAAGTGGGTGAGACCAGCTGGTAAGAAAAGTAAATGTTACAGAATACATCCTATGAGAGGGGAAGGATCACTGCAGTGCAGTGGCCCAGGAACAGGTACCATTTCCTTGCCCTCGCTTACATGTAGCCACTGCGGACTGCAACTCCCAGCATGCCCTGAACCAGACTTCTGAATGGGGGGCAGCTGGGAAGCAAGAAGGATAGTGGTGGGTTTATAAACTGAGGTGGAATGAAGGAGAAGAGAGAGACACATAAAGAGGCTGCTTCCATCCTTGGTCCTTGCTGCATTAGTGTTTTGGTAGAGACAATGACAATCATTACCTTGACCTCCTGGTGGATTACATGGTACATTTCTTGTGGTTCCTGCCATTATGAGATTTGGACTTGTTCTGGTGCTTTTGGGCCTCAGTTGCCCTGTTCTGGGCCTGATTTATTTGGCTGGGCCTTCGCACACAAGAGGATAAGTAATTTTCAGAATCTGAATCGAAGTCTGTTATTTGAAAGCCTTTCTTCTTCTCCTCCGTCTCCTCTCCTGTCCCCCTCCTTTTCTTCTCACTATGTATGCACCAGTAAAAGATATTTGAGCACACCAAGAGTCAGCTTTCTCTATCTTTGCGTGTATGGATGGTTGAACTCTTAGAACAGACAAAATGGATTTTTCCCAGTTTGAGGTCTCTGGGTACCCCTTGGTTTTGTGCAGTTTCATAAGTAGTCAAAGCACAGATTTAAAAAGGGATATTTTAATGCTAGGGATTTATTCAGAGTCATACAATGAGCAATATGGAAAAAATTAGTCATTACTTTATATCTGTGTTTCAAAATTAGAAATTAAACATGTCTTACACCATGACAGCATCATTAATATAAGTTATAAGAGAAGAACTTTGAGGGACAACACTCATTTAAATATATGTTTTTGTATGTGTGTTAAAATCAACCATGTTAGTTTATCACACTTCA